ACCAGAGAGAGACCAGAGAGAGACCAGAGAGAGAGACCAGAGAGAGAGACCAGAGAGAGACCAGAGAGAGAGACCAGAGAGAGAGACCAGAGAGAGACCAGAGAGAGACCAGAGAGAGAGACCAGAGAGAGACCAGAGAGAGACCAGAGAGAGACCAGAGAGAGAGACCAGAGAGAGACCAGAGAGAGAGAGACCAGAGAGAGACCAGAGAGAGACCAGAGAGAGAGACCAGAGAGAGACCAGAGAGAGAGAGACCAGAGGAGAGAGTCCAGAGAGAGACCAGAGAGAGAGACCAGAGAGAGACCAGAGAGAGACCAGAGAGAGACCAGAGAGAGAGACCAGAGAGCGAGACCAGAGAGAGAGACCAGAGACGAGAGCCAGAGAGAGAGACCAGAGAGAGACCAGAGAGAGACCAGAGAGGAGACCAGAGAGAGGACCAGTGAGAGACCAGAGAGAGACCAGAGAGAGACCAGAGAGAGAGACCAGAGAGAGGACCGAGAGAGAGACCAGAGAGAGACCAGAGAGAGCAGACCAGATTATCCATTGGAGACCAGTGAGATGACAGAGAGACCGAGGAAACAGAGATAGACCAGTGAGAGGCCGTTGAGAGAGAGGACCGAGATAGAACCAGAGAGAGACCGAACAATACTGACTCGGAGAGCCACAAACCAGAGAGACCATAGAATATGACCATGCTTAGTTGGCCACCAGAGAGAATCACAAAGAGACACAGAATCCAGAGAGAGACCAGAGAAGAGACCAAGTTGGACTAGAGAGAGACCAGAGAGAGAGACCAGATGAGACCAGGAGAGAGACCAGAGAGAGACCGAGAGAGAGACCAGGGAGAGACCAGAGAGAGACCAGAGAGAGAGACCAGAGAGAGACCAGAGAGAGAGACCAGGGAGAGACCAGAGAGAGAGACCAGGGAGAGACCAGAGAGAGAGACCAGAGAGAGACCAGAGAGAGAGACCAGAGAGAGAGACCAGAAAGACCAGGGAGAGAGACCAGAGAGAGACCGGAGAGAGAGACCAGGGAGAGACCAGAGAGAGAGTGGGCGGGACCACTCGCGGCCATTTTGGATAGCTCCTGTAGAGCACATTTTTTGGCCCATTCGTTTGAACGGCGCAGATAGGCGTGACTCTGTCCATTAATATATACAGTCTATGGTCATGTGACTGTTACACATGTGTCATGTGACTGTTACACACATGTGTCATGTGACTGTTACACACATGTGTGTCATGTGACTGTTACACACATGTGTCATGTGACTGTTACACACATGTGTCATGTGACTGTTACACACATGTGTCATGTGACTGTTACACACATGTGTGTCATGTGACTGTTACACACATGTGTCATGTGACTGTTGTAGTAAACAAGTACATGTTAAATGTGTCTTTGGGCTGAGAGCTGATTGGCTGAGTAAGGGTGGTCCTGAAAGAGCTGATCGAAAGTCCTGACAGAGGCCACTGGTCTCTCTCTGGTCTCTCTCTCTGGTCTCTCTCTGGTCTCTCTCTCTGGTCTCTCTCTGGTCTCTCTCTGGTCTCTCTCTGGTCTCTCTCTCTGGTCTCTCTCTGGTCTCTCTCTCTGGTCTCTCTCTGGTCTTTCTCTGGTCTCTTTCTGGTCTCTCTCTGGTCTCTCTCTGGTCTCTCTGGTCTCTCTCTGGTCTCTCTCTCTGGTCTCTCTCTCCGGTCTCTCTGGTCTTCCTCTCTGGTCTCTCTCTGGTCTCTCTCTAGTCCTACATTGTGAATCAACAGATGTTGTAATCCGAGGTCTCTGCTGAGTCCTCTGTCTCTGGTCTCTTTCTCTGGTCTCTTGACTCTGGTCTCAAGATTGTTGGCAGAGCTCTGTCTGGTCTCAAAATAGATTAATAAAACAGTGCTTCTTGGGTGCATCTCTCTCTGAGACCATAAATATCACAACATCTCTCGTGGTAGCTCTCTCTGGTCTCTCTCTGGTCTCTCTCTGGTCTCTCTCTGGGTCTCTCTCTAGTCTCTCTCTGGGTCTCTCTCTGGTCTCTCTCTGGTCTCTGGTCTCTCTCTGGTCTCTCTCTCTGGTCTCTCTCTGGTCTCTCTCTGGTCTCTCTCTGGTCTCTCTCTGGTCTCTCTCTCTGGTCTCTCTCTCTGGTCTCTCTCTGGTCTCTCTCTCTGGTCTCTCTCTCTGGTCTCTCTCTGGTCTCTCTCTCTCCTGGTCTCTCTCTCTGTCTCTCTCTGGTCTCTCTCTCTGGTCTCTCTCTGGTCTCTCTCTCTCTGGTCTCTCTCTGGTCTCTCTCTCTGGTCTCTCTCTCTGGTCTCTCTCTGGTCTCTCTCTGGTCTCTCTCTGGTCTCTCTCTGGTCTCTCTCTGGTCTCTCTCTCTGGTCTCTCTCTGGTCTCTCTCTGGTCTCTCTCTGGTCTCTCTCTGGTCTCTCTCTGGTCTCTCTCTGGTCTCTCTCTGGTCTCTCTCTGGTCTCTCTCCTCTGGTCTCTCTCTCTGGTCTCTCTCTGGTCTCTCTCCCTGGTCTCTCTCTCTGGTCTCTCTCTCTGGTCTCTCTCTCTGGTCTCTCTCTGGTCTCTCTCTGGTCTCTCTCTCTGGTCTCTCTCTGGTCTCTCTCTCTGGTCTCTCTCTGGTCTCTCTCTGGTCTCTCTCTCTGGTCTCTCTCTCTGGTCTCTCTCTGGTCTCTCTCTCTGGTCTCTCTCTCTGGTCTCTCTCTCTGGTCTCTCTCTCTGGTCTCTCTCTCTGGTCTCTCTCTCTTGGTCTCTCTCTGGTCTCTCTCTCTGGTCTCTCTCTGGTCTCTCTCTGGTCTCTCTCTGGTCTCTCTCTGGTCTCTCTCTGGTCTCTCTCTCTGGTCTCTCTCTGGTCTCTCTCTGGTCTCTCTCTGGTCTCTCTCTGGTCTCTCTCTGGTCTCTCTCTGGTCTCTCTCTCTGGTCTCTCTCTGGTCTCTCTCTCTGGTCTCTCTCTGGTCTCTCTCTCTGGTCTCTCTCTGGTCTCTCTCTCTGGTCTCTCTCTGGTCTCTCTCTGGTCTCTCTCTGGTCTCTCTCTGGTCTCTCTCTCTGGTCTCTCTCTGGTCTCTCTCTGGTCTCTCTCTCTGGTCTCTCTCTCTGGTCTCTCTCTCTGGTCTCTCTCCCTGGTCTCTCTCTCTGGTCTCTCTCTGGTCTCTCTCTCTCTGGTCTCTCTCTGGTCTCTCTCTGGTCTCTCTCTGGTCTCTCTCTCTGGTCTCTCTCTGGTCTCTCTCTGGTCTCTCTCTGGTCTCTCTCTCTGGTCTCTCTCTCTGGTCTCTCTCTGGTCTCTCTCTCTGGTCTCTCTCTGGTCTCTCTCTCTGGTCTCTCTCTCTGGTCTCTCTCTCTGGTCTCTCTCTCTGGTCTCTCTCTCTGGTCTCTCTCTCTGGTCTCTCTCTCTGGTCTCTCTCTCTGGTCTCTCTCTGGTCTCTCTCTCTCTGGTCTCTCTCTCTCTCTGGTCTGTTCTCTCTCTCTGCTCTCTCTCTGGTCTCTCTCTGGTCTCTCTCTGGTCTCTCTCTCTCTCTGGTCTGGTCTCTCTCTGGTCTCTCTCTCTCTCTCTCTGCTCTCTCTCTCTGGTCTCTCTCTCTGGTCTCTCTCTGGTCTCTCTCTGGTCTCTCTCTGGTCTCTCTATCTCTGGTCTCTCTCTGGTCTCTCTCTGGTCTCTCTGGTCTCTCTCTCTGGTCTCTCTCTCTCTGGTCTCTCTGGTCTCTCTCTCTGGTCTCTCTCTGGTCTCTCTCTCTGGTCTCTCTCTGGTCTCTCTCTCTGGTCTCTCTCTCTCTGGTCTCTCTCTCTGGTCTCTCTCTCTGGTCTCTCTCTCTGGTCTCTCTCTCTGGTCTCTCTCTGGTCTCTCTCTTGTCTCTCTCTCTCTCTGGTCTCTCTCTGGTCTCTCTCTCTGGTCTCTCTCTGGTCTCTCTCTGGTCTCTCTCTCTCTGGTCTCTCTCTGGTCTCTCTCTCTGGTCTCTCTCTGGTCTCTCTCTCTGGTCTCTCTCTCTGGTCTCTCTCTCTGGTCTCTCTCTCTGGTCTCTCTCTCTCTGGTCTCTCTCTCTGGTCTCTCTCTCTGGTCTCTCTCTGGTCTCTCTCTCTGGTCTCTCTCTCTGTTCTCTCTCTGCTCTCTCTCTCTGGTCTCTCTCTGGTCTCTCTCTGGTCTCTCTCTGGTCTCTCTCTCTCTGGTCTCTCTCTGGTCTCTCTCTCTGGTCTCTCTGGTCTCTCTGGTCTCTCTCTGGTCTCTCTCTCTCTGGTCTCTCTGGTCTCTCTCTCTCTCGGTCTCAGCCCGGTCTCAGACATGTCCCGGCGAGCAGCAGCAGATGTGGTCTCGGTAAGACCCTGGGATCCTCTGTTTTCAAAGGCCGCGCCCTCAGGTGCAGCTGCCACAAGACCCGACAGCTCCGCGGCCACTCTGCACCATTAGCCGCGCGCTAAGCTAATCCCGGGATTACGCAAACTGCATTTGGACCACACTTAGAGTTTTTCCCAGAATTCTTGGACTCGTCGGGACGTCCCGCCACCAGGCCACACATGAAAGTTTAATGCAGGTGGTTCAGTAGTTTGGGCTGAGGAGGATTTGCAGCCGCATGAATATCTTATGGAGCTAATTGTGCCGAAGAGGAGGAGGAAGAGATCAACCAAAACATTTGTCCTTTTGTCTGTGTTTGTCCCCTTTAACCCCGTCAAACTGAGAGGCTTTCAGATGATTGTTTTAAGCTACAGCCTCGATGGTCACTGCGGCATCTGGTACCTGTTTTTAATCTCATTTTACTCAAGAAAACACCACAATATTCACATTATTCACATTATTCACAATATTCACAATATTCACATTATTCACATTATTCACATTATTCACATTATTCAGAAAAAGGATCAAACTTTATTGATCCCGATGGAAACGACGCTCCTTCACAGTCACAGGTCATCGTGAGGTGGGGCCAGAGGAAGCTGCAGGAGCCGTCGTCTACACGTCTGTTATTCTGTTTATTTGGGGCGAGCGAACACAGACACTCTCTGCACATGGGGCCAGCATCACATCTGTCGCTCAGCCCAGGGCGGGTAGGGGGCTCCTGTGGCCCGGGGCGGGTAGGGGGCTCCTGTGGCCCGGGGCGGGCAGGGGGCTCCTGTGGCCCGGGGCGGGTAGGGGGCTCCTGTGGCCCGGGGCGGGTAGGGGGATCCTGTGGCCCGGGTAGGGGGCTCCTGTGGCCCGGGTAGGGGGCTCCTGTGGCCCGGGGCGGGCAGGGGGCTCCTGTGGCCCGGGGCGGGTAGGGGGATCCTGTGGCCCGGGTAGGGGGCTCCTGTGGCCCAGGGCGGGTAGGGGGATCCTGTGGCCCGGGTAGGGGGCTCCTGTGGCCCAGGGCGGGTAGGGGGATCCTGTGGCCCGGGTAGGGGGCTCCTGTGGCCCAGGGCGGGTAGGGGGATCCTGTGGCCCGGGTAGGGGGGGCTCCTGTGGCCCAGGGCGGGTAGGGGGATCCTGTGGCCCGGGTAGGGGGCTCCTGTGGCCCAGGGCGGGTAGGGGGCTCCTGTGGCCCGGGGCGGGTAGGGGGATCCTGTGGCCCGGGTAGGGGGCTCCTGTGGCCCAGGGCGGGTAGGGGGATCCTGTGGCCCGGGTAGGGGGCTCCTGTGGCCCAGGGCGGGTAGGGGGATCCTGTGGACCGGGTAGGGGGCTCCTGTGGCCCGGGGCGGGTAGGGGGATCCTGTGGCCCGGGGCGAGTAGGGGGATCCTGTGGCCCGAGCAGGGGGCTCCTGTGGCCCGGGCAGGGGACTCCTGTGGCCCGGGTAGGGGGCTCCTGTGGCCCGGGGCGGGTAGGGGGATCCTGTGGCCCGGGGCGGGTAGGGGGATCCTATGGCCCGGGTAGGGGGCTCCTGTGGCCTGGGTAGGGGGTTCCTGTGGCCCGGCTAGGGGGCTCCTGTGGCCCGGGTAGGGGGGCTCCTGTGGCCCGGGGCGGGTAGGGGGATCCTGTGGCCCAGGGCGGGTAGGGGGATCCTGTGGCCCGGGTAGGGGGCTCCTGTGGCCCAGGGCGGGTAGGGGGATCCTGTGGACCGGGTAGGGGGCTCCTGTGGCCCGGGGCGGGTAGGGGGATCCTGTGGCCCGGGGCGAGTAGGGGGATCCTGTGGCCCGGGCAGGGGGCTCCTGTGGCCCGGGCAGGGGACTCCTGTGGCCCGGGTAGGGGGCTCCTGTGGCCCGGGGCGGGTAGGGGGATCCTGTGGCCCGGGGCGGGTAGGGGGATCCTATGGCCCGGGTAGGGGGCTCCTGTGGCCTGGGTAGGGGGTTCCTGTGGCCCGGCTAGGGGGCTCCTGTGGCCCGGGTAGGGGGGCTCCTGTGGCCCGAGGCGGGTAGGGGGATCCTGTGGCCCGGGTAGGGGGCTCCTGTGGCCCGGGTAAGGGGCTCCTGTGGCCCGGGTAAGGGGCTCTTGTGGCCCGGGTAAGGGGCTCCTGTGGCCCGGGTAGGGGGCTCCTCTGGCCCGGGGCGGGTAGGGGGATCCTGTGGCCCGGGTAGGGGGCTCCTGTGGCCCGGGGCGGGTAGGGGGCTCCTGTGGCCCGGGTAGGGGGCTCCTGTGGCCCGGGTAGGGGGCTCCTGTGGCCCGGGTAAGGGGCTCCTGTGGCCCGGGTAGGGGGCTCCTCTGGCCCGGGGCGGGTAGGGGGATCCTGTGGCCCGGGTAGGGGGCTCCTGTGGCCCGGGTAGGGGGCTCCTGTGGCCCGGGGCGGGTAGGGGGCTCCTGTGGCCCGGGTAGGGGGCTCCTGTGGCCCGGGTAGGGGGCTCCTGTGGCCCGGGTAGGGGGCTCCTGTGGCCCGGGTAGGGGGCTCCTGTGGCCCGGGTAAGGGGCTCCTGTGGCCCGGGTAAGGGGCTCCTGTGGCCCGGGTAGGGGGCTCCTGTGGCCCGGGTAGGGGGCTCCTGTGGCCCGGGTAGGGGGCTCATGTGGCCCGGGTAGGGGGCTCCTGTGGCCCGGGTAGGGGGCTCATGTGGCCCGGGTAGGGGGCTCCTGTGGCCCGGGTAGGGGGCTCATGTGGCCCAGAGAATCACCCCACATTCCCTCAACGAACCAGTCAGATCAACGCTCTTTCTCCCTTCACCATTTTTCCCCAACGTGGGATTTTTGGACGATGGGTCGTTGCTATGTTTGTAAATGTTGTAAATATTGTATATATCCAAAAAGCCAATCAGTTGCACTGCTTTGTTGTTCACCCTGTCCTGGGTCGATGCAGGGAGGAAACACACCTGTGGCCTCTCATGACTCTCCCAGAGCCAGTCTTTGTCTCCTGACTCCAGCCTAGTTATATTTAATCCTCTCTTCTCATCTCGATGTCCCGCCCTCCACCGTTTCACCAATCAGAAAGTCTGTGATCCGGGCGCCAGAACTTACGGCGTGGAGCTAATCTCACTGGTAAAGTACCATGTGGCACAGAACTAAAAAAGGTCCCGTTATGATTCTCAAATCATTAACGACAAAACAAGGAATAAAACCAGGATTTCTATCTTTGTGAAAAAGGTGTTGGTTATAGATTTGTTGTTGACAAAACGTCTGCATATCTGGCAACCTGAGTCAGGGAGAGTGGGAGAGGCTGCAGTACCACCTTTGGCCACACGTTTACACACTGCTCATTTATATATGTTTAAGACAATTCTATCCGACTCCAGCAACATTCATATTTGGTCTCGTGTTGGGGGAGGAGGAGGGTTGCTGGTTGGGGGAGGAGGAGGGTTGCTGGCAGAGACTTCGGAAAGAAGCCGAGGGAGAGAAGGTTTCTGTCCGACATGATTCATGAAACTGCTCCTCTCCCGAAACCAGACGGAACCAGAGAAATGAGAGCACCATGTGTTCTGTCTCTCTTTGATATTTCTCTGCTCTCTCTCCTTTTCTCTCTCTCTCTATCTTCGTTCTCTGGTCTCTCCCTCTCTCTCTCTCTCCTCTCTTTCCTCTCTCTCTCTGCTCTCTCTGCTCTCTCTCTCCGCTCGCTCTCCGCTCTCTCTCTGCTCTCTCTGCTCTCTCTGCTCTCTCCGCTCTCTCTCTGCTCTCTCTCTCTCTGCTCTCTCTCTCTCTGCTCTCTCTCTCTCCGCTCTCTCTCTCTCTCTCTCCGCTCTCTCTCCGCTCTCTCTCTCTCCGCTCTCTCTCTGCTCTCTCCGCTCTCTCTCTGCTCTCTCTCTCTCCGCTCTCTCTCTGCTCTCTCTCTCTCTGCTCTCTCTCTCTCCGCTCTCTCTCTCTCTCTCTCTCTCTCTCGCGCTCTCTCTCCGCTCTCTCTCCGCTCTCTCTCTGCTCTCTCCGCTCTCTCTCCGCTCTCTCTCTGCTCTCTCTCTCTCTGCTCTCTCCGCTCTGCTCTCTCCTCTCTCTCTCTCTGCTCTCTCTTTCTGCTCTCACATTTCCTCACACCCAGATTGTGACATTACATCCTACATTCACGGCTGCAGATAAACGGCTTCTCGCCTCGATCTCGGTCTCGTTCTAATCTGTAAATCTCACATTGTGTTTGCGCTCGGCTCGGGGCTCAATCCTCGCGTTAAAACTCAATCAATTTCCTGGATTTGCATCACGACGACAACAACAGCCATTATTTTCCTGCTGTTAATGCGCTGACGGCGGCGAGCGCCTCTCTCGGCCCAGACTCTGCTGAAAGCGAGATCCGTGCTCGCTCCTCTCTCTCTGCGTCTGACGCTCCATAATCCACTGATTGGTTTTACCTTATCACAACTTAAGCAGTGTACACTGTAAGCCCAGGACTCACCCTCTGCTCGATACAGGTTTGCAAAACTCAGTCTGCTGAGCTCCAGATCTGATACGGGTATTTAGAGCTCTGCCAGGCATTAACCGAGAGCACAACAAATACTGGGCCTTTTAGCAGAGCTGGGGGAGGAGGGGGGAGGAGGGGGGAGGAGGGGAGGGTGGGGGGAGGAGGGGGATGCAAATGGGAATGATCCGGGATGAGGGGTGAGGAGGAGAGGGGAGAGGCCTGGACTTAAGGACGATTAGAGACGGAAAGATGTGGAGGGAGGAGCCAGTCCCTGTGCTCCTCAGAGTCAGGAGGCCAGTCCCTGTGCTCCTCAGAGTCAGGAGGCCAGTCCCTGTGCTCCTCAGAGTCAGGAGGCCAGTCCCTGTGCTCCTCAGAGTCCCAGCAGGAGGCCAGTCCCTGTGCTCCTCAGAGTCCCAGCAGGAGTCCAGTCCCTGTGCTCCTCAGAGTCCCAGCAGGAGGCCAGTCCCTGTGCTCCTCAGAGTCCCAGCAGGAGGCCAGTCCCTGTGCTCCTCAGAGTCCCAGCAGGAGGCCGGTCCCTGTGCTCCTCAGAGTCCCAGCAGGAGGCCAGTCCCTGTGCTCCTCAGAGTGGGTTCATATAGCACTGACATGTCACAAATGTACTGTACATGAAGAGACTTGTTCCAAGCAGAGACCTGAGACCAGGACTAATGTGAGAGGACTTCAGGACAGAGACCTGAGACCAGGACTAATGTGAGAGGACTTCAGGACAGAGACCTGAGACCAGGACTAATGTGAGAGGACTTCAGGACAGAGACCTGAGACCAGGACTAATGTGAGAGGACTTCAGGACAGAGACCTGAGACCAGGACTAATGTGAGAGGACTTCAGGACAGAGACCTGAGACCAGGACTAATGTGAGAGGACTTCAGGACAGAGACCTGAGACCAGGACTAATGTGAGAGGACTTCAGGACAGACACCTGGGTCTAAGTTCACAGAGCTCTGTGGGGTCTGAGCCTGAGCCACATTTCTGTACCGTGTAAATGTGATGTCACATCCTCGTCATCAGAGTCACATTCAAAAAACAATAAACAAATGCAGCTGACGACAGGAGTGATGTCACACTGCTGTCTCTGGTCTCTCTCTGGTCTCTCTCTGGTCTCTCTCTGGACTCGCTCTGGTCTCTCTCTGGACTCGCTCTGGACTCGCTCTGGTCTCTCTCTGGTCTCTCTCTGGTCTCTCTCTGGTCTCTCTCTGGACTCGCTCTGGACTCGCTCTGGTCTCTCTCTGGTCTCTCTCTGGTCTCTCTCTGGTCTCTCTCTGGACTCTCTCTGGTCTCTCTCTGGTCTCTCTCAGGCCTCTCTCTGGTCTCTCTCTGGTCTCTCTCTGGTCTCTCTGGTCTCTCTGGTCTCTCTGGTCTCTCTCTGGTCTCTCTGGTCTCTCTGGTCTCTCTCTGGTCTCTCTGGTCTCTCTGGTCTCTCTGGTCTCTCTCTGGACTCTCTCTGGTCTCTCTCTGGTCTCTCTCAGGCCTCTCTCTGGTCTCTCTGGTCTCTCTGGTCTCTCTGGTCTCTCTCTGGTCTCTCTGGTCTCTCTGGTCTCTCTGGTCTCTCTCTCTCTCTGGTCTCTCTCTGGTCTCTCTCTGGTCTCTCTGGTCTCTCTGGTCTCTCTGGTCTCTCTGGTCTCTCTCTGGACTCTCTCTGGTCTCTCTCTGGTCTCTCTCAGGCCTCTCTCTGGTCTCTCTGGTCTCTCTGGTCTCTCTGGTCTCTCTCTGGTCTCTCTGGTCTCTCTAGTCTCTCTGGTCTCTCTGGTCTCTCTCTGGTCTCTCTGGTCTCTCTGGTCTCTCTCTGGTCTATATAAGTCTGATTCCTGTGAGTTCAAACTGATGTCTCATTAAGAATAACCTACAAACCTTTCATCAGGGAATTAAAGCAGGCTCAGGGACACAGCCCGCCCCCCTCACCCCCACCCCCCACCCTCACCCCCCACCCTCACCCCCCACCCTCACCCACACCCCCCACCCTCACCCCCACCCTCACCCACACCCACACCCTGCTGCTCTGGTCTCTCTCTGGTCTCTCTCTGGTCTCTCTCTGGTCTCTCTCTGGTCTCACTCTGGTCTCTCTCTGGTCTCTCTCTGGTCTCTCTCTCTGGTCTCTCACTCTGGTCTCTCTCTGGTCTCTCTCTGGTCTCTCTCTCTGGTCTCTCACTCTGGTCTCTCTCTGGTCTCTCACTCTGGTCTCACTCTGGTCTCTCTCTGGTCTCTCTCTGGTCTCTCTCTGGTCTCTCTCTGGTCTCTCTCTGGTCTCTCTCTGGTCTCTCTCTCTGGTCTCCCTCTGGTCTCTCTCTCTGGTCTCTCTGTGCTGATTCAGAGACAGTCCATTCCTGGTCTGTACCATCGTTCTCTCCTCGCTGGTTCTGCGTGGAGCTAAATGCTAAATGCTAGAATAAAGTGGATCTCATTAAAACCCGGAGCAGGTCCCGGTGGCTCAGCGTGAGTCTTGAGTCTGGTCTTCTCTTCTTGGACTATAAAGGGAAGTAGCTGGTCTCGGCGGGTCTGGCAGGTCTCGGCGGGGCATCTGGGCTTATCCAGGATTTGGATACAACTTTAAAGGGCCCTGAGTTTGAAATCTGAGGATCTACTGTTAAGTCACCGGGGGAAGGGCTCCTGTTCTCAAGGCCCGGCACGTCTGAGCTCATTACAGCAGCAGAAGGAACAGTAGCAGTAGCAGTAGAAGTAGTAGCAGCAGTAGCAGTAGTAGTAACAGTAGAAGTAGCAAAAGTAGTAGTGCAGTAGCAGTAACATTAGCAGTAGCAGTAGTAGTAGTAGTAGAAGTAGTAGCAGTAGTAGCAGTAGTAGCAGTAGTAGCAGCAGTAGCAGTAGTAGCAGTAATAGTAGTAGCAGCAGTAGTAGTAGTAGTAGTAGTAGTAGTAGCAGCAGTAGTAGCAGTAGTAGCAGCAGTAGCAGCAGTAGTAACAGTAGTAGCAGCAGTAGTAGTAGCAGCAGAAGTAGCAGTAGTAGTAGCAGTAGTAGCAGCAGTAGCAGTAGCAGTAGTAGCAGTAGTAGTAGCAGTAGTAGTAGCAGTAGCAGTAGCAGTAGTAGCAGTAGTAGTAGTAGCAGTAGCAGTAGCAGTAGTAGCAGTAGTAGTAGTGGCAGTAGTAGTAGCAGCAGTAGTAGCAGCAGTAGTAGTAGCAGTAGTAGTGGCAGTAGCAGTAACAGTAGTAGCAGTAGTAGTAGTAGCAGTAGTAGTGGCA